AGTTCCTGGGTTTAGTCTGGCCCAGCCCCAGCCTTTGTAGCTATCTGAGGAGTGAAACAGCAAATGGAAATTCTCTGCTTCACTCTAACTCTAATTCTTTCAAAGAAATAAACCGAGAGAGAGAGAGAGAGAGAGAGAGAGAGAGAGAGAGATGTGCATACCCATGTTTCTGGCGGCACCATCCACAGCAGTCAAAAGCCACTGAGGTGCCCATCACTGGGTGAATGGATAAACTAAATGCATTCTGTCCACTCAATGGAATGTTCTTCAGCCTTGACAAGGCAGGGAATTCTGGCTCAGGGCACAGCACAGAGGAACGCAAGGGCAGTGTGCTTGGTGACACAGGCCAGGCACAGAAGGACAAATACTGTGCACAATCCCACTTGCACGAGGTCCTTGGAGTAGTGAGGGCCACAGGGACGGAGAGCAGGATGGTGGTGCCAGGCCCTGGCAAGGGTGGATGGGTGTTGGTGCCCAACAGGGACAGAGTGTCCACCTGGGAAATCTGGAGCTGGGCAGTGCTGATGGTTGTGCAGGCCTAGGAGGCACTGAATGTCACTGAGCTGAAGAAGGGGTAGGACAGCGGGTTTGTACACATTTTACCATGACTTAAAAAAAATTATTGTTTATCTCAGAGAGAGAGAGAGAAAAGAGAAATGAAGAGGAGAGAGAGAGAGAGAAAGAGAGAACATCTTCCTCAATATCTACAATGGCTGCTGGACCAGACTGAAAAGCTGGCACTCAATCCAGGCCTCACACGGGTGGCAGGGACTCAAGAGCTTGAGCCCCCACCGCGGTCTCCCAGGGTGCCTGTGAACAGGAAGTGTAATGGGGCAGATGGCTGGGACTTCACGTGGGTACTATAATACAGGACGTGGGCACCTGGGGCCCCACCCCTGAGGCTGGGGGCTCGGTCTGGTGCCCGTGGCTTGTCCTCTTTGCATTTACATTCCTCTGGCCACTAGCTCACCCCATGAGAGCTCAAGGCCGCACTTCATCTCTATCTCGATTAGGGGAACTCTCTAGGGCTGGACTGGTAGCTGCTACCCTGTCAGTCCTCAGAGTGGCTCTGGGTGAGGAAGCTTCTGTTGAGCGAGATGGGTATAGGAGTAAGGCAGGGAAGAGAGGGAGAGATGAAGCCAACTGGGAGGGAGTTGACCTGAGGCAGGTGGTCCAACGATGGGGGCAGAGGGAGGGGGAGGCATGTGGGCTCTGCTGTGCAGGAGACAGCCCACTTGGAGGGGGTGAGGGTGGGGGAAGGCCGAGGATGGGCCAGGTCAGCTCTTGAAGCCAGGCCAGATGCCCGCCTGAGCTGCAGTGAACTGGTCAGAGGAACACAGCCCAGGCTTAGGCAAGGGAGGCAGTGCCTGGGAGGGGCTGCCTGATCCTGGCCTGGTCTCTAGGGAGCTGGTATTTTCACTTGAAAAGTCCCCATTAATCTGAAGAGCAGGCTTATTGTTGGGGAGACCAGCTGGCCAGTCAGCCCTCAATGTCTCCCTTTGCTGGCCTGAGCTATTATTTGAAGTCCTTGCTTTTCCTTTTTCTCTCCCTCTCCTCCAACCTACATCCTTTGTGTCTAAGTGGGAAGCAGGGAGAGGTCAGACGCGTGGGAGAGCCAGCTGGGCTCTGCCTCTTGTTTGGTTCCCAGAGCCTCTCCCCTCCTGACTTGGCTGCCCCCTACCCCACTATTGGGGCAGGACAGGGTTTACTACCACACGCCCAAGCAGGCCTGCTGAGGCCCGACAGGGGCCAGCACATGACCCCACCTCGTCTCTAGGCCTGTGCCCTTGGGGTGGATGGGAACGGCAGCCTTGCTCCCACCTTCCCCATGACGTGACCGAGGCACAGGGAGGTCTCTGTTTTTCAGAAAAAGGAAACTCTCTGGTGGAGAAGAGAACAAAAGAATAAGACAATGATCTCTCTCCCCACTTCACCCAAGACTCTGCTGGGAAACGGAGTGGGGGCTCCATTCCCAGGACCTCACACGTGGATGGGGCCTTTCTGGGATCCACCTCAGGGAAATGCTTCCATGAGTGCAAGAGGAAGGGTGGGTGCGAGGAGGGGTGTGTGGACAAGAAAGTGCATACATGCATGCAGTGTGTGTATGGTGGGTGTGTGCATGAACAGGTGTGTGTACAGGTGTTTATAGGTGTGTGTACAGGGGAGGTGTGTACAGGCGTTTATAGGTGTGTGTACAGGGGTGATGTGTATAAGAAGTGTGTACAGGTGTATGTACAGGTGATATGTGTATAGGAAATTGTGCACAGGTGTGTGTATAGGGGAAGTGTGCATAAGGAGGTGTTTCAGGAGGTGTTTACAGGTGTGCATGGGAAGTGTGTGTACAGGGGGTATATACAGGTGTTTGTATAGGGGACGTGTGTATAGGAGGTGTGTACAGGGGAGGTGTGTGTACAGGAAGTGTTTACAGGTATGTGCATGAGGAGGTGTGTGTACAACTGGAACACCTCCTATACACACACCTGTGCACAACTTCCTACACACATCACCTGTACATACACCTGTACACACTTCTTATACACAGGACCCCTATACACACACCTATAAACACTGCCAACGTTCCAGGTAGGGGTGGCTAAGGAATGGTCGGTGCACCCACACAATGAAGTGCAAGGCAGCAGGAAGATGTTTTCACCTCCAGGCTCTAGGAACCGCTGTGGGAAAACCTCTGAGACTGAACAAACCCAATGAAGCTATCCAGGTTCCTGAAGCTTACAACAACTCTTGTGAAATAACCCCTGGTATACTCCATCTTGTACTCATAGTAACAGAAAAAAGGGAAAATGTTCCAGAAGAATCTGCATCAATTTGTGCAGTTCAGTGACCCATCAGGGCACAGGATCAGGAGTGTGTGTATAGAGACCTGGGCAGGTAGAAGTCCAGAGGCTCCAGGGCACAGGGACCTGGTTGAGAAGGGCCCTGTCCCGAAGCCCCGCTCGGTGCTCTCAGAATCACAAGGCATCCCTACCTCAGCTCTGTGACCATTGCACTGTTCCTGCTGGCCCCTCTGACCCCAGCCGGTGGCCTGGCCCACATCAATGACCCAGATGTGCCCCTCCCTGGGGGCGGGCACAGCTGTTCCTCTCCTCAGACAGATCTATGTCATAGGTGTCGTTCTTGTTATCTCCGCCGTAGAGCTGGGGGAAGCCATATGGCTGGCAAGTGGCCAAGCTCAGCCTCACTCCTGGGGACGTCCCAGCAGCAGACTGGAGACTAGATGCCCACCATCATCCAGGGCCCTGGGACTCCACGACTCCATTGTGGTCCTCAGCAGTCTCTGCCAGTATCCTTCTCCATCCTCCCGTCCTCCCGTGTCTCTTGCATTTGCAAACAACAGGAGTGCTGGGCCCTCCCCTCCCTACCTGACATCTCATTCCAGACTGCTGAGGCCCAGCAGTCAGTACCCTGGGTCAGGCCCTGGAAAACAGAGGCTCTGAAACAGTGAGGGAGCCTGGCAGCAGCGACATGCTGCGAAGAGGAGGTGGTGGCCCTGGTGGAAGGCACCACAGAGAATCGGGTGGGGTCCCCTGAGAAGCTAGTGGGGCACAGAGCTGCACATGGGGGGGTGCTGCAGCTCCAGCAGCCCACCTCCCAGGGCTGGCCCCCAGACCCTACTCCAGCTTCAGGAGGAGGATAAATCCCGGCAGCCCTGCCGCTTGCTGCTCACCAACACTATAACTTCATTGATGCAGGGGACAGCACTGGGACATGGCGAGGCAAACGGCCCTGGGCGTGGAGCTGGAGGATCTGTGCTTGGCCCATGCCTGCCCTTCACCAGCAGTATGACCCTGGCCGTCATGTGACCTCTCTGAGCCTCAGCACCCTGGCTGTGAAACAGGGAATCCGGGGCTGACTGTGAGGGTGCTGCAGAGATCTGACTGAGGCAATGACAAGCAGAGCAGATAGCTCAGACTCCAGAGAACAAAGGAAGGACAGGGTGGGGCAAGGAACAGGACAGTGTATGACAGGGACGGAGCTGGGGCAGAAGGGGCTAATGTGGGCAGCCCCCTTGCCATGTCTCCAACAGTCCCAGCTAGGTGACTTCATAAAGCATAGAGGTCAGAAGTATGGAAATAAGCCAGTGGCATTTCCATTGATTATCAAACAGGTGTATCCATATCTACATACCTACACCCTTGTTCAGTGTGACAAGAAGAGAGACACAGAGAAAGGGGCCTAAGGGAGGCTGTGGGGACAAGGGTGGACAGCCACACTCCCTGTCTCCCTGGCTACCTCCAGGAGAGGTCTAGAGGACAGGTTGAGGTAAGCTGAGGAGGGGAATGGAGAATTTCAAGCTGGCCTCAGCCTTCCTAGCCTGTCCCCTGCAGCAGTGGTACTTTCTGGGACTTGTCAGCCAGGAGCACCCAGGCAAGTCTGACACCTGGGAAGCAATCTCCAGCTCCTGGAAGGTGTGTGCGGAAGGGCTGAGAGCATCAAGGAACAGGTGCAGCCTGGCGGAACACTGGCATCCCAGCACCAGTGCTGACACGCCCATGTTCAGCGAGGAGCTCAGGGTTCTCGCCGCCATGGGGGTGTCACTGGCCACCTCCACCCTGAAGATCCCAGCCCTCGGGCAGGCCAGGGAAAGGCAGCTTTGACTCTGAGACTCTGTTTCCAGCAAACAAAACTCGCTTCCATCCTTTAGGACGCCCCACTCTCATGATCCCCACTTCATAAACATGGCAAGGCTGAGGCCTAGGGATCCAAGGGCATTAGAACAAGGTCCATCTAGGCTCAGTCAGGTAGCTCTATTCTGCCTTTTTCAAAGATCCTGGGATGCCCCAGCCCCTCCCCCTACTCCAAGCCAAGAACACCCAGGAGGAACAGGGACCCTGTGACCATGAATGCAGGACTCACCCACCATGGACCCTAAGTCTGCGTGCAAACAACCCCTTCATGTTGACGGACCAACCGGCAGAGCAGCCTCTTCTTCCTCTCCCACCCTCACCTTCCTAATACCCACATCCTGGGGGGCATCCTACCTTGTGGGTGAGGCTGGGAGCACCTTCCTCCTCCTCCTCCGAGCTTCTCTGCTCTTCGTCTGACGTGAGGTCCTCTCTGGGTGCCACCACCGAGATGGGACAGACTTTGTAGGGTTCCGTGTAGGCGCTGCATCAAAGAAGGGAGGGAAGGGTCAGCAGATCTTGTCCAGCAGAGGCCCGGCTATGGACCTCAATGAGTGCTGGGCAGGTAAAGCTATGTCCCTCTGCAGGGACCAGATGTGAGCAGGCCAGGAACAAACCTCACTTTTCTCCTGGCCCTGTCCCCCCACCAACATACTGGCCTCTTTTTAGTGCCCTCCACATGCCAGGCTGTTGCTGCCTCAGTGCCCTGACACAAGCTTACACAGACATGACTCCCTGATAGATTAAGGCAGGCTGTAGGGGTGAAGGAAGGAGGGTGAGAGATGTCCAATTGGCCACCTAGTCAGGGCTGCCGTGTCCTCCAGACCTGGACAAGGGACGCAGCATGCGACAGGCAAAGCATGGGTTGCAGGTTCTGGATAGGGCTTGTCATCAGCTGATGCTGACTCCTGTCTCGCTTTCTTGAAGGTGTTGCGAGAGGTACAGCCAATGCAGGTGTGCTGTTGCATCTCCAAGGAACTGGGACTGGATGCAGGCACTGCACTGCTGGTCATTAAGCACTGAACATGCATTCAGGGCGTAGGTACGAATCCCCTGCTTCATGCAGGGTTTAGGGCTGGCTAGAGGGCCACTCAGCACCACACAGGGGTCGAGGAGGAGGGTGGTTCATCCTTCCTCATTTGCTTGGTAGAGTTTGGAGCTACTCGGCAAAGTGACTGCCCAGACCAGGCTTCCAAAGCCCCAACTCCCCTGAAAGCGTGGTTTTGTCCTGCAGGCAGGGAAGGAGTGGACCTGGGGCCTGCTGCGCTCTGTCTGAAAGTGAGCCACAGTGAGGGATGCGGCCGCTGCCCGCACCCTGGGCCCTCCTTCTCTTCATCCAGGAAAGAAAGGTGTGTGCCAGGCCTTTCCTAGAGTGTGCTGTGGGGGAGGAAGTGCTTTCCAGCCAAGCCTCCCAGGCGGCACGCCAGAAGCCTGTGCCTCCACACACATTGCCAGAGTGCCTGCTTCCTCCCAAAGGTACCTTTCAGGATCTCCCAGCTCCACTCACACCTCCACCACCAGTGGCCCCTGAGGTCCACCTGGAGGGCCACAGAAGCTCCCTGCTGCTCTTCCCCTCTGGCTGGCCTCTCTTCCAGGCTGGCCTCCAACCTGCTCTCCATCTGAGGCCAGGGTAACTATACCCAAACCCACCGTGCCCATGTGCCCTCCCATCCTTGCTGAAGACTGTCTGGGGCTACCTTGGGGCTGTAGGAATCCAGCCTCAATAGCTCAGCCTGCTGGACAAAGCTTGGTATGAGCTTGGGAAGAAGGTGGGCACCTTTGGCTCCTGCTGTTGCTCTAACACTCTCCCCAGGAGGGCCTGGCATAGCAGCCTGGTACTCAAAGTCCTTGACTTGCATGGATTAAAAAAAATCTCCTCAGGCCCAGGTGCCCCTGGGCATCACAGTGCCAGACTTGAGGCCTCATGCCAAGTGTGTGTCGGGGGAAGGGGTAGTTGCCACTGAGCAGAGCTGTGGGTGACACTGGAGAGGAAGCTCCTGGAAGCAACTTCCTGAAGTGTGAAGAGGCTGGCTCAAGGTCATGTGCCAAGTTCAGGCCAACACATGCTGTTTCTCATACCGGATTCCATTTTTTGTCTTTTTAAAAGATTTCTTTATTTTCATTGGAAAGGCAGATCTACAGAAAGGAGATACAGAGAGAAAAATTCCCCATCCACTGCTTTTCTCCCCAGCTGGCCACAACAGCCACAGGGCTGAGCCAATCCAAAGCCAGGAGCCTGGAGCTTCTCCCAGGTCTCCCACACGGGTACAGGGTGCCAAGGCTGTGGGCTGTCCTCAAGTGCCTTCCCAGGTCACAGGCAGGAAGCTGGAAGGGAAGTGGAGCAGCTGAGACACCAACTGGTGCCTCTATGGGACCCCAGTACATGTAAGGTAAGGATTTAGCCACTTGGCTAGGGCACTGGGGCTACCTGGTTTCATTTTAAATGCTAGGGAATAGGCATAGGAGGGTTCTGTTGGCGCACGAACATGTGGTTCTGGGTCACAGGTTGTAAAGGCAAACAGGAGCACTGGGATCCTGTGTGTCGTTAGCTGACTTTCAGGACAGGGTCCACGTTGGCAAGCTGGGCTGCAAGGGTTCCTCCTGGTTGGCTCCTGCTGAACCTCCTCAGGCAGTCCTCTGCAGGAACTAATGCACAGGGCAGCTGAGGGAGTCAGGGAGTGCACGCGGGAGGCTCAGCAGCATCTGCCACCTTGTGACTCAGTCAGCACCGGCCCCTTCCCCCTCTGTCCTGTGTGGCTGCCTCCCGGCTGGGGCCAGCTCCTCCTGCCACCACTGCTCACCCATGGCTGCCTAAGTCACACCACTGTTTTACTTAAAAGGTTCATCTATTTATTTATTTATTTGACAGGCAGAGAGAGAGAGATCTTCCATCCACTGGCTCACTTCTCAAACGCGTACAATGGCTGAGGCTAGTCCAGGCTGAAGCTAACAGCCCAGAATGCCCACATGGGTGGCAGGGGCCCAGGCACTTGGGCCATTCTCCATTCCTTTCCCAGACCATTAGCAGGAAGCTCAACGGAAGCAGAACAGCTGGGGTCAGGGCCCCACTATGCAATGCTGGCTTAACCCAAGGTACTATAATGCTAGCTCCCAAATCAACTAATTTTTAACACTGACTACTTACTCGGATGCACACCAAGTTAAAAAAAAGACTGGTAAGGTCATAGGTCTATGTTCTTCTAGCAGTTTGAAGACAGCAAACGCCAACAGTGTGGGTGACTACATTACCTTGCTTGCCACTGAAGACACATAGACCTCTCAGAGACAAACCTGGTTAGCTCTGAACCACTCGCCACCTGGCTCAACCCAACTTCAGCCGTGGTCAGAAGTGTGGCCCAGGCCAACGGCATTCCTCTTAGCATATTTCTGTTTATGCCATCTGGTTTTTTTTTTTATATATAATGAAGATCACTAAAACAGCTGCTCATTTATTTCACTGTACTATTTGGGGTCTGTGAGCCCAACCAATGGGGAGAAATCACCGATTGAAAACACACTTTCAGGTAGGTAGGACGCCTACATCTCACCTCCGAGGGCCTGGCACCAGCTTCCTGCTAGGGGGAGTAACAGGGGAGACAGCAATGTAATTCAAGTATTTGCATTCCTGCCACCCATGTGGGAGGCCAGGGTTGAGTTCCCAGCTCTCAGTTCCAGCCACTGGCTGTTTTGGACATTTGAGTAATGGATTAGCCAATAGATAGGATCTCTCTCTCTTTCTTTCTCTCCCTCTCTCTCTCTAAATCTCTCCAACTCTGCCTCTCAAAATGAATGAATGAATAAAGAAATACAATTCTGTCACAATGTAAAATAGCAAAAAAGAGCAAGTTTAATCAATGTCTGCACATTCAAGGAGAAAGTTGTAGCAACAAGCCCTATCTTAGAGGAAGGCATAATTGAATAAACAAACCAAAACGCTGATGGTAGTGAAGACCCCACGGGCTGCACCTGCAGATCTCAGAGTGTGGCTACCTTGTTGGTCTTCAAATTCAGAGAGAAGCAGCTCTGAGAAATGTCTCCTTAGCAACTTCTTCCCAAATGCTCTGACAGCCTCTGGCAGAATTTCTCCCAGGAAGTAGTCACCCTCCCTTGGGGAAACACCCCGGGGGGACCCATACACACATTTTGTTTCCAGCCCCCCCAGTTTGTCAATGTGAATCTTCAAGCAGGGTCCGCTGCTTAATACAGTCTAAGGAAGCTCACAGGGAACAGTGTTTTTTTCTATCTGGTACCTATCTACTTTTTCATCCATTAAAAAAAAAACAAACCCTATTAGGAGCCCTCTCTATTACAGGCTGCCCTGGGAACACAATCATAAGCAAACAGACCCTTTGTTCCCAGGCCTCACTAGCAAAAATGCTCACAATAGTGATACCTACAGGTGTTATCTCCAGCTGGATTCTCTGAGCACAATGCTACATTATACATAAGAAGGTCCCCTAACCCAACCACCTGTTCATCCACTTAACTTCACCCATTACACACTCATTCAGCCACTCACTCACCAATCTATCCATCCAATTAACCATCCACTCAGATGTCCACTCTCGAATCCATCCAACCCTCCACCTACCCATCTACTCACTCATCCATTCATCCATGTACACATCTGGTCATCCTTCTACATGGTCACACACTCTCCAGCCATGCAACCATTCATCCACTCATCCATTTATCTCCATGTGTACGATCCATCTACACCTCATCCAGCCATGTGTCCATTCATCCACTCGTCCATTTCCTACCCACTCACCCACATCTCCATCCTGCTGTCCACACATTCCTCCACTAACTCCACTCAAAGGGATTAGCACCCACTTCATGGAGCTGACACAGGGAACAGTTGAGAGATGACGTGAGCACCTCTGGCTTCAAAAAAGGCAAACAGTGCCAAGGTTCATTAAGAAGGTAGGCTCGGAAGTCAGACTGCTTTATTGATAGCCAACTCTGCTACTGCAAGCAAATAATTTAACCCTTCCATGCCTCAGCTTTTTTTTTTTTTTTGATTTACCAATTTACTTGCAAGTCGGAGCTATAGTGAAAGAGAGACAGAGAGATGGAGAGTCATACTCTAAGACATTAGCTAGTGATGGTGTTTCCATAGCCTGGCGGCATTAGATGGGATAAGCTGATGGGATTAGCTCGCTGGAATGGTGAGACTGCAGGTGGCCTTATCCTGCCATCAGCTGCTCCCTTGCAGCTGGCTGGTGCTGAGAGTGGCTTAAAACCCAGCCACCTCCTCATGGCCTTACACACTACAGGCTCCTTCATGCCTGCTCCCTCACTGCAGCCTCCACGCCTTCCCAAGCGTCACACTAGGACCAAGAGCTGCCACTTGACCGAACAGGAGGTGAGAAAGGACATCTGGGAGTTACAGTGTGGATGCCAGAGACGAATTCCTGGGCACCCTTTCAACAATCTTAAGGACAAACAGGCTGTTGTGCCTTGAACAGGGGCTTTCTAGAG